ACACACACACACACACACGTATATATATAATGTATGTATGTATATTTCCCCTGCTGACAGAGCCTGGGAGCAGGGACATGCTTATGGGCACATCTATCACCCAGATCTTGATTTCCAAATACTGTTTTCCACTAAAAAGAAGTAAGATGCCTTAGAGAAATGGCTCGTTCTAGGGCTGGGACTGGGAAAGTGCAAGAGGTGCCTGCAACATCTTGTGCACGAAAGTGCTCAGAGAATCAGAGGGACACGTCAACAGGACATAAGAGGTTGAAGAGGCTCCCAGTGGCTAAATCTGGGAAAATTTGTGCCCCCAAAACAAACAATAATAGTAATGAATTATACCTTGTTGAATAAAATGAGAATCCATAAATCCATGCTAATATAAATGAGTAAATATGGAAAAGAGTAAGCTTTTCCTTACAGTAGAATGGCAGCTAATAAATGTAGAAGAAATTATGGAATCAGAAAAATCACCATTGGGCAAATATCATAGTAATGATTGATTCAGGGAACAAATATGTAAACATCCCAGTTTGCATCCACTAGTGGGTAAAAAGTTCCATGAGGAACAGTCTACTTACATAGCCTCAAGGGTCTCACCACAAAAGAGTTACTAATTATAAAGGGAAAAGAAATCATTGTACAATGGAGAAAACTGGCATACACTACCTTACTCAAGTGATCAAAGTTAGTAGCTCCAGTTTGTCTCAGCAGACAAATAGACGCTGTATGTGTTCTCCTGATGGGGTGCATGCCAAGAATGCATAATCCGCATCTAATCACAAGGAAACATCAGGCAAACCCCAAATGAAGGACAGTCTCCAAAATGACTGGCCTTTACTCTTCAAAAATGTTAAGGTTACAAAAGCCAAGAAAGGGCCATTAAAGGAGACTGAAGGAGCTCTAGTGGAACAGTGGTTAAAGTATTTGGCTGCTAACCCAAACAAAGGTCAGTGGTTCGAACCTACCAGTCGCTCTATACAAGAAAAAAGTCTAATTCCATAAAAAAAAAGCAGTCTAATTCCAGAAAGATTTACGGCCTTGGGAACTATGAGGCAGTTCTACTCTGTCCTGTAGGGTCACTATGAGTCGGACTCTTAATGGCAGTGGCTTTTAGGATTATGATCTTGGATTGGATCCTTTTTCTACAAAGAACATTATTTAGACAATTGCTAATTTGCATGGTGTCTCTTAGTAAAGGGGGATAGATCAATTCTTTGTACTGCTTGAAGCTTGTATATTTGATATTTTTCAGAACAAAAATACAGAAAAAGCATTTGAGAAATTACAATACCCATTCATGATATAAATTCTTAGAAAATTAGGATCAGAAAGGAACTTCCTTAGCCTGACTAAAGAGCATCTGTGAAAAACCTATGTTGTTGTTGTTGTGTGCCGTGGAGTTGGCCCCAACTCATAGTGACCCCTCCTTGGGTTTCCGAGGCAGTAGCACTACGGAAGTAGGATTGCCCAACCTTCCTTCCGAGGAAGGAAGTTTGGGTACAATACCCATTCATGATATAAATTCTTAGAAAATTAAGATTAGAAAGGAACTCCCTTAGCCTGATTAAAGAGCGTCTGTGAAAAACCTATAGTTAATATTATATTCAACAGTGAAAGGCTCAGTGCTGTCTTCTGAGATCAAGAATGGACAAGGATGCCCACTCTCACCACTTTTATTTAACAGTGTACTGGAGTTCTTGCCAATGAAATAAGGCAAGAAAAGGAAATAAAAGGCATAGAGGTTGGAAAAGAAGAAGTAAAACTTTCTTTTGCCCATTCTGCATCCTTTGCCTACCTCACACTATATACATATGTATATATATTCACATATACAAATATTAACTCAAAATGGATCAAAGACTTTAAGAGGTAAAACTCTTAGAAGAAAGCATAGGTATAAATCTATGTTGCCTTACGTTAGGCCATGATTCCTTTGTTATGCTATCAAAACACAATCTTATAAGAAGACATCCTAAGGAATTGACATAGAAGCTACTAGAACTAGTAAGTGAACTTAGCAAGGTTGCAGGCTCTTTTCTGTATACTACTAGGTGTTATTGAGTCGATTCTGATTCACGATGACCCCGTGTGTGCAGAGTAGAACTGCTCCACAGGGTTTCCAAGGCCATTACCTTTTGGAAGCAGATCACTAGGCCTTTCTTCAGAGGCACTCGGGGTGGGTTTGAATTTCCATCCTTTCAGTTAGTAGTCAAGGTCTGCACCACCCAAAGACTCCTTTCTGTATATTCACTCACTCACTGCCAACAAATCGATTCTGACTCATAGTGACCCTCTTTGGGTTTCCAAGGCTGTAAATCTCTATGGATGCAGACTGCCTTATCTTTCTTCCATGGAGCAGCTGGTGGGGTTTGAACCACTGACCTTTTGGTTAGCAGCCAAATGCCTTAACTACTGTACCACCAGAGCTCCTTTCTATACACTAGTAGTGAATAAGTAACTCACTGCCATCGAGTTAAATCCAACTCATAGCGACCCCTCCTTGGGTTTCCGAGGTGGTATCGCTACAGAAGTAGATTGCCCAACATTCCTTCCAAGGAGTGGCTGGTGGGTTTCAACTGCCAGCCTTCTGGTTAGCAGTCAAGTGCCTTAGGCACTATACTACCAGAGCTCCTATAAACATTGAAAAGGGAAATTAAAGAAGATCTAAATAAATGGAGACATAGACCTTGTTCATGGATTGAAAGACTCACTGTTAAGATGTCAGTTCTCCCCAAATTGATTTATAAATTCAAATGCAATCTCAATCAAGATCATAGCACTTTTCTTTAAGAAATTAACAAAATGAGCCTGAAGTTTATATGAAGAGGCAAAGGACCTAGCATAGCTAAAATAATTTTGAAAAAGAAGGTCAAGCTTGTATTAACTCTACTTGATCTCAAGACAGTGATCAAGAGAATAATAGTGATATAAGAATAGTCGTGTAGCAGCCAGCTACCCAGAGTGACCGAGTAGTTGATCCTGCGGGCTTGGGACCATAGTCGCAGGGGACAGCAAGCTCAATTGGCATAACATACTATACAAAACATTGTTCC